TTTTATATCTATTTTATTTTTTAGAGCAACTCTATTTTTATAATAAATAAATGTGAAATAAAGTGGGTTCAAGAATAAATTCTACACGGTTGGGCATGCATATTAATACTCTTCTGATGATAATATTTATCTTTTGTCTTGATTATCATGTTACTTGTGAAAATAAATTTATATGAATTGTTATTATATTATTACAAATTTAGAATTTTATGATTGATCAGGGCGATAATAAATTTTATTATATGCTAATGTATCATGTATTTGTGTTAATATATCATATTGTTAGTATTTACTCACAAAATCTATAATAACAATTTATTTTGTATGAGAAAAAAAACTATATTAACAGAAGTTAATCCAATGTTAAATAATTAATTAGTAAACTTTTTGATCACATTGGAGATAAATTGAAGATTGATAAAAAATGATAGTGTGACTTTTTGATCACATTAATATGTTATTTTTTTGTTACACTCTACATTGATGATTATTCAACAAAGTTGATAACATTTGTAATCATAAAAGGTGCAACATTAATAAGGGATGCAGTTAGCACTGATTCCATAATGAATTATTAGCCAAGAGTCATTTTCAAAAAAATTTAAAAGTTATGAATTATACATTTGATTTTAACTAAGTAGGATAATGTTGAAATTTCTCATAAATTCTTGTGGGTTACAAACTTACAATCAATTATGATTTTTTTTTTCCAGAAACGATCTAATACTATGATCAATTTGATAATACTTAAATCCACTAATAATGTGATAAAATATAATGGATTTTGAGCACATACTTTTGATATGTGTGGAAAATATTATAGGCCTAATTTTAAGGCCTATAGTGGAAGATGTCTAAAGTTAATTAAATAACGCAGGTTTCCCTTATCATCACAATAATAAACAATTGGTCTCTAAGTTTGTTTTATTAAAAATCTGAAATATTGAAATGTGTGATTAGACAAAAAAAAAATTTGACTTCTCAATTTTAAGATTCATGCAACACATAACAAATTCTTAAAAGTATATTCAATTATATCTTCAACAATTAAATGAATAATTTAGTATGCTAAATTCATATAAATAATGAATATTATTGATTTATCTTACGATTAGCTGATGTTGCAAAGGAAAAACAATATATGTAGAAATGAGTATAGGTAGGAAGAACCATGAATGAAGAAACAAAAGTAAGGAGAATGCGTTGATGCATGGAAGTTGTGGGGGAAGACAATCAATGTACACATAATAAACAAATGTAGGTTAAAAGGGAGAATTGAAAGAGAAGAAGAAAAAAAAAACTAGAATATTGTGAATCATCTATTAAAGTTGAGAGAACTGTAACGTGAATTCATTAAATGATAATTATGACAAATTTTCATTACAAAGATATGGAATGAGATAGGAAAATAAGACAAGAGATTTACATCCTAAAATTCCAAAATATATGAAAAACTTTGGAGGCAGACAACTTTCAGAATGCTTGCCATTAGTGTTTCTTAGCCCAACAACATAATAAACTAATAATAATTAAGCTTGCGGGTGAAGAAGCCATAAGATGATAATTTCACAATCTAAACAATCAACTTAAATCTTTTTATCTTTAACTGACCAATGAAGTTAAGCTAAGAAAATAAAAGTATAAAAAATATTATGATTGAGCACGGAAAAAGGATGATGTTTTTCATCTATGGACGTGATGACCTATCCACTTCAAGATACAATTTACTTTTACATTTTTTAATATGTGACACAACTCACGAAAAAACCAAAAAGGCCGTTATACTATTTTCATTTTATTCTTTTTTTGTTTTTTAATTTCAAGACCTAATTCGCCGTGTTTAACACTAAGGGGGGTGTATTGGATTAGGATTTTAAAGGACTTTTTTAGTTAAAAAAAATCCTGCGAATTTTAAAAGACTTTGCAGGATTTTCATGACTTTTAAGATTTTGCAGGATTCTATAAGACTTAAAATCAGGATTTTAATGGATTCTGCAAGACTTTTAAATCAGGATTTTAATAGATTCTGTGGGATTTTGTAGAATTTTTGTGGAGTTTTGACATTTGATAAGATTTTAAAAAAAAAATTCATACATTCAAATTTAAAAAGAGTCAAAGACAAAAATAATTAAAAAAAATAATGTCTAGATAAATAATAATAATAATAATAATAATAAT